CACACACACACACACACACACACACACACACACACACACACACATATATACACACAAGTGTGTGCACACATGAGAACACACACACACACATGCATATGTGTGTGCACATACAGTATAACATTCTGATTAATTACCTTTCCTGATTCATTATGAGGTTTATCGCCTATGGATTACTAATATCCATATACATGAGATAAACTACACAGAAATCTAAATTGGATGAACTTAATCTTTCCTGAAGATTTTAGCGGAAACCTCATGATTTTCAGAATGTCAAGGTCACTGGAGTTATACTGTAAATGTGCAGAGACATACAATCACTGGGATTTCCATGTGATAGTATATAAATGCGTGTGTGAGTATATAACAGCACAAGTCATGTGGGAACTAAGGTGCCATGTGAGCACACCTTTTGTTTAATTTCCATTCTCTGCTTCAAAATATGTTTCAGGGGCTGGAAAGGTGGTTTAGCAGTTATGAGCAATGGCTCTTTTTTACAGAGGAGCAGGGTTCAATCCCCAGAAGCCACATGGCAGCTCACAACAGTCTGTAACTCCAGTCCCAGGGACCTGCCATCCTCCTGTGGCCTCCATAGGCACTGTGCACATGGGCTGCACCAACATACATGCAGGAGAAATATCAAATAAAATGAAAACAGAATAAAAAATAAAAGTTATTTGAAACTCTGAAGCAAAGAACAAAACAGTGTAAGATAAACACATGTGAATATGTAATACTCCCATTTTTGTAAGAGAAAGCATACACACATATGCACACAACTCTGAGAAGATGTGTACCTCAATTTTTAAAACATTAATTTCTCTGGGTGATGAGTCACAATAGAGTTCATTTTCTTCTTTTGGCTTATCGAACTTTCTGGTTTTTTTTTTTTAAATAAGCATTTCTTCTCAAATATAAATTAATAAAGACATAATCTTTGGTTAGATGATCCACACATCCCAGTACTAGAAGCAGTATAAAAACATTTAGAAATAGACTGGATGCACATAAATGGAAACAATGGCTGCAGATGACACCCCCCACACACTGGGCCGACATCCATTGTGTGGTTGTGTGTGCTATACTGCCAGTTATGAGGGGGTGGGGCTGGGTGCTGTGGTGTCGGCCAGGAGAGTAGCATGGAGTTTGGGGAAATGCTGTTGTCTTGGGGAATAGAGGTTGGATTTAGACCACTGCTAGGTATAGGGGCAGGACTCTGTGGGTCTACAGGGTATGAATTTACAAGCAGAGATTCTAACACTTGTGAATAAAATCTTTTATTTTTTCTTGCATTGCTATATCTGTCCTACCACCTAGATAATAAAATCTGGAAGGTCACATTTGGCTTTGGTCCTGACCCTGTGTGAACTGGGGCAGAAGGTTTGGGGCAAGTCTGGGCACAGACTCTTCAGTCTTCTCCTTCATCTGTAGGCTTTGCCCCACTCCAGTGTGACCCTGACAGAAGCTTTGCCCATTCTAGCATTCAGCATGAGTCATATAGCTCGATCTCTGGACCTCTATCTAATTTGCCCAGATCCAGCCTTCAGCTGTGTGGCATTAACTGGCTATGGCAGAAAGGCTAACCGTATCAGAGTGTGGCCAGAAAAAAGGGGTCATGGTTCCAGAAATGAGGGGAGTATTGGGGAAAGGCATGGGTTCAATTCTACCAATGAGAAGAGAAATCTATGCAGGTGGCACAAAGGGTACAGTGGCATCCCCAGGACATGGAGTGAGGGTATTATTCCATGGTTTCTTTCCATGGCGAGGGAGCCCATGCCATGGAGGAAATATGTCTCCAATTTCCAGAACCCTTCATGCCCTGCAATGATCTGAGCAGATCCTCTGCCCATTTCTGCCATTGTAGGAACTCTTCCTCTACACTGTTTCCTGAATTCATTGTGTGTACTCAACACCATCCATGCCTACCACAGTGCCTGATGCCTACCACAGTGCCTGATGCTCTATGAGAGGTTGGAGGTCTTCATGCCTGCAGAAGGATCACATTTTCCTGCTCATCCAATGCTCCCTGTGTGGTTTGAATGAACATGACCCCCATAGGCTGTGGTAGTTGAACACTTGGCCCCCAGTTGCTGGTGCTGTTTGGGTAGGTTTAGGAGGTGAGGCCTTGATGGAGAAAGTATGTCACTTGTATGTGCTCTTTGAGAATTTAAAGACTCACACCATTTCTAGTTCAATCTCTCTGCTTTGTGCTTGAGGTTCAACATGTAAGCACTCAACTTCCTACTCCAGCCACCATGCATACATTCTGAGTGTTTTCTGCCTCCACTCTGCCATGGGGGACTCTTCTCCCTCAAGAGCCATAAACTCTTTCTTCTGTAAGTGGCCTTGGTCCTTGTGTTTTGTTACAGTAGCAGAGCAGTAACTAAGACATACCCTACACAGTCTCTTTTCTGTAAGCCACTGTGGGGTCTCTAACAGCCTTGTTAGTGACTAGATATTTCTTTCCAGATGAGCCCTCAGCAGTAGGGTCTCAAAGTGACTGCCATATATAAACATCTGGAGTCTGTGGGAGTGCCTTCTGCCTAATGTATTCCTCAGAACAACTCTGTGAAGCAGGCCCTTCATCACTCCTGCCTTCAGAGTGAGGAAAACAAATGCTCTACCTAGGCTCCAACCCGGCCCTAGTAAATCTGGATTCCAATGATCTCTCTGTCTTTCTGACGGCTCCTGAACCCAGCAGCTTATTAGAACTGCCTATAAAGCTGGTTATCAATCCAGAGTCACAAGACCCATGCTTGACCTCCTGGATTATCTTCAGGGTGAAGCTCAGCTATCTGTCTGTCCACAGCTGTCTCGAAGATGCTTCTGTTCCCTTTACACCCACTGCTCCCATGGGACCCACTTCCGGTGTGGCATACCTGCCATAGCCCCCAGAGTGACAAGAGTGACTTTAGGGGCCACCCCTAACACTGACAACCCCCATTCCTCTTTTCAGAGGTTACTTATGCAGTGTCCATTTACACCTCCCAAGGTGCCTCTTCTATAGAGCCTTGCTGGGTTAACAGCCCAACTTCCCCAAGTCCAAGGGTCAGAACAGCAGAACCACTCATGAGTCCTGAGCAAGAGAGGTGTGGGAAATTTGACAGTCACACTTTGGAAAGACTCAGGAAGGCTTGTGAGCTGAGGACAGTGACCCAGCCTCCCCAGCAGTTGGCTGCAAACAGTTGGACCCCAATAAATTGGATATGTCTAGAAAGACGCTGGTGTCACTTAGACTCTGTAAAGTAAGGAGTCAGGATCCTGGCAATTAAGTGACCACAAACCCATCCAAGAAGCACTGCAACAGGGGGATTGCAAGGGTGGGAAATTTCCCCCTGTTTGCAGGAGACAAGTGAGAAGTGAATCAGTAAGGCCACAGCAGGTAACCACAAAACCCTAAACTTGACCAGGAGAGAGGCCCTAACCTCTAAAGTTCTCCAGAGGAACAGTTAACAATTGGTTGAATAAGTCCCTCAGACTAACTTTACCTGAGGGGAACCTAGCAAGAAGACACATCTCACTATGGTTTCTAAGGAGGTGTCAATGCAGAGAGGGGCCCGGGCTACTTGTCTAAGCATTGTATACAGGTCAACCTGGAAAGCCTTACTCTTTAGTCACTGGGAGAATTGGGAGACAAGTTGAAGAGAGCTGAAATTCACAAGAAGCATTAACAAGGAGCCTATATGCAAAGACAGCTAGAAGGGAAACTTTTTAGTCAATGCTGAAAGGTACTTGCTTAAAAATCTAAGTAAACATACCCCAGTTTCTCTCTGGCTCAATACTCCCTTTTAATTACACTGGGAAAGTCTTCTCACAGCCAAACACCCAAATTCACTGTATAGGGAACGAAAAGCATGTTATCAAAGTGTTACTGAGGTTTTGGGTGGAGCCTACAGGGTCTGGTTCCTGTCTTGAGCTTCCTATCACCATAGTAGAAGGCTTAAGAAGGTTGAGAGAAGGGTTAGCCTGGCCCTCAAAGAAGCATCTGTATAGTGCTCTTCAGTGCTGCCAGGGCTCTGAAAAAAAATTTTTTTTCAGGAGAAATGGTACTTATCAGGGCAAGAAGGTGGCAAGGGATTGTCTACATCTGACAGCCATGAGCCCAGTCAGATAGAAAAGTATGCCAAACAGCCACCATGTGTGGCAGGCAGCCAGGTGGTCACATGCTGAGGTGGGTACAGCTGTGACCAATGAGGGAAGTCCTGGGGTGTTCATCCAACTCCCTAGAGCTTGGGAAACAAGTAGATGCTAAGGTGACAAGAGTCACTGAGCTCTGAGTCTCAGTGGGCTCTGGCTGCTGGTGGGAACATTTTCATAACGATGCCCATATAAGGAGCAGGGGGTGGTAGGGGTGGGGCTCCCACACATTCTTTCATCACTATTCTTGTGGAGCTCTTTTGTCAGAATTGAAATATTTTTTTTTTTGAAGGAGAGAGGAGGGATGACAAGATTCAGAAAAGTAATAAGGCTTTTAAGGCTGAAGAAGCTCTGAAAGCCATGATCTACACGGCCTCCCCAAGGCTACGGGGAGAGAAGACTCTTCAATGGAGTTGCCTGCAAGTTGGACAAGGAGCTTTAGGAATCAGCACTCGGGCTGTGGTAGGCCTTTTGATGGTGCAGCTCCCTGTGGCTCACCCAGTCCTCTGTCATTGGATAGAAACATGTCTTTGGTCTGTCATCAGTGCTCTATCTGGGCTCATGTCTCCTTAGAGAATACTGCATAGCTGCCCAAGAGCTAAGCAGGCCGGCAAACCTGCAAGACTAGCCGTGGGACCAGGATGAAAGCACGTCTTATCCACAGGAGAAAATACTGTCCAACGTGAAGAGCTGCTTCTACTGCCAAGCACAGGAGAGAAAGGGAAAGCGTGGGCCATGGGAAACTCAAGTTCACACTCCCAGGGAGAGTTGCAAAAAGCTGTGGATTTGGGTGTCTTTGGGTCCATGGCCCATATGGCTTGTGAGCTCACTTCATGGGCTCTCTGGTGCACATCTGATGGTTTATTAGTCACCCACCATGTGTAAATGATCTGCCATTGACATACCCACTAATCACACCTAGTCATCAGAAACCATCTCAAGCAGGACCCAGAGAAATTTGAGGGAACATGACTGAGCCACAGGAAAGCCAAGAATCCAAGTAGAACAGCACAGCTCCCTGGGAAAACTGTACGATTGTCTTGACTTGTAACTCAAAGTAGACTCACATGGGTGTGGTCTGCCTGAGACAGCCAATCCTAAAGCTCAAACTGTCCTCTCATGTCCTAGCTGTGGGCCTTATATAAACTACAAACCTTTCTGAGTCCCAGAGTTGTGCCTCTGTTGCAGGTGTGGTTGTGATTCTGCTGTGTCCTATGACTGATGTGTCAAATCAGACAAGTGAGCAAAACCCTTACCACATAGTCATCCAAAAATGCTAGCTCTCTCCCTTCCAGTTTCCCCCAAACAGAGGTGGCTTCCATTTCTCCTCTTCCTGGCCAGTGTTCAGAAAAGCAACAATTAGATACACTACAGAACCTGGGCACAAAAACCTGGGCACAGCTGAGAACAACTGACTCCTACCTCTAAGCAAGATGCCCAGCCCTGCCCAATCCTGCACAGTCCTTCCCAACCCTGCCCAGCCCTGTCCAGTCCCATTGGTGGTCTGCCATGGAAGAGCTATGCACAACAGAAGTCTTGAAAAATCAATTGTTGACCTTCCTGGGGCCTGAAAATTTCACAGACATGCTCTTATGGACAATGTGTGGTCCACTGAAGAGCCCCAACATCAGAGATCTCTTCCCTTTGAAAGGCCCACGAACTCTCAGCAAGCCTTGCCTTTCTCCATACTTCAGGTTCATACCTTCTGTTTGTGGATAAGGAGGCTCAAGGCCAAGGCTTCTGAAAGTCCCGATCTCTCTCTTCCCCATTGCTTTCTTACCAGCCTCATCCTCTTCCAGTGCTCTCCAGACAAGTGAGTTTCTGGTCTCCCTTGGGCTCACTAAACTGGTGACTGTCTTAGCACACAGTGCTGCCTGGAAAGCTTGATCCAGGCAGCCATGTGGTAGCCTACATCACAGTTTCATCTTCAGAGCTGTACCTCCAGGAAGGCATCCTTGGTCTTCTCCACTACTCATTTTTATCATGGGCATTCACCTCTATCTGAAATGACTTTCCTTTTTGTTCCATGTGTTATATCTGGTTCCCTTGATATACACATAGTCCATGTAAAGGGGATGACCTCACACACTTAGTTTGGAAAATGCCAGCAGATCCCAGGACAGTACCTGGCCTGGTCACTCTGTTCCTGGAGAGAAGAGAGTTTCTCAAGAAACATTTGTTTAGTGCATCCATGACTGTACAATTCTGTCTTTCACAGGATTGACAATATCTGAAACACACAGGTCTAGGATGGCCAGGAACACAGACAAGAGAGATGTTCCTGGCCACCATAGATAGCTTCTCAGCCTCTCATAACACAGAACCCCAAATTCCCCTCATCCTTGATTCTGAATAAGGGAATCCCAAAGTTTTTTTTTGTTTTTGCTTTTGTTTTTTCCATGTCCTGTCTCCAGAGTTAAGCAGAAAGTTCAGCTGATCATCCCTCGGCCTTGACTTCTGGGATCAAAACAAAGGGGAATATTTAGGTCCATCTTTAGTGCCCAATGATTGGGGCTCACGTGACACTGAAGAAACCTCATCTGATAAAAATGACAGCAGCTGAGCTATTAATATGTTATTAACATATTAATCTGTCCTAACTTCACATAGATTGTCTCACTTGTCTTGAGAAATTTTCTCAGCAACCATGGCCTTTAAAAAAAAATCCACTTGCTGTGATAGCCTGTGGTAGCTGTATTCTGCAGCCTTTCCCCCAAAGCTTAATCCCATAGGGGTTTATGTGGTTTGAACGAGAATGTCCCCCACAGGCTAAGATGTTTGAACACTTTGTCCCCAAGTGGAGATGCTCTTTGGGGAGGCTCAGGAGGTAGGATCTTTATTCCTTTTTCCCTTTGGAAGCTTCTCGTGTATGTGAAAAGCCTGTTCAGGAGCCTCCACTTGGGTGGAGGAGCAGGAGAAGCACTCAGAATAATTCCTTAGTGCCAGGGCATCTGTGGGAAAGCTCATCTCTTGGATAGACGAGCTCCGTGGAAACTGATGTGGGTGAGACCTCGCCCCAGAGTGTGAGTGTCCAGGGAAAGATTGCCAAGCTGATCATCACAGGTTTCCACTGCATGGATGGTAGCAGCGTTGTGGAGCATGGGATCCTACCTGTCTGACCCAAGGACCGTGTTAGACACATCTGAAGAGCTCAGTGAGGAACCCCCGGCATTGAGGACAAGCCTCGTAGATTTACTTACCCTTCGGATGGGTGAGAGCTGTAGTTCGCCCCATGATTTCATCCTCGGTGGCATTCAGGTTCTGGATCAGAAAGTATGTGGTCATTTTTCCTTTCCCTTTCACTTCAATCTCTCCTCTCTTGACAATGTCAAACCCTTTGTTTTCCAGGGCTCTAGACAGAGAGAAGAGAAATGTGCCAAATACCAGAGATCACAGACCAGTCCTGGACCCACAGCAGAGGAGGGAGGATCTGAGGTGACATCAAGCCTGTTAGGACATCAGGGTGAGGGACTCAGTGGGGAAGGAGGGAGGCATGAAGGGCCAGTGTTCTGAGCAGGGTGCCAAAGGCTAGGTGTGGCCCCAGGGCCCCCACACACACCTTGTTTCTACCCTCCTGCTTGGTCTTTCCTCCCAAGCACCCTAGTTCTGTCTAAACCCTTACTCAAGATTCAGCTCGGGCCATCTCCACAAAGCCTTCTTTTCTGGCAATGGACCCCTCTCCACCTCCCATATCCCGTTAGTTAGTTAGTTAGCGTGGGAGTCTGAACCTTACCCAGTTCTTCCTGGCATTCTTGGTGCTGAGGTAAGCTGTTAACTGCTATTTCTTTTGTTTCGTTTGTAAGACTCAATATCAAATGTTTTCCTTTGCTCTTCTTTTATTGGGAGTATTTTTTTTCTACAATATATTCTGATCAAGGTTTCCCCTCCCTCATCTCCTACAAAATCTTCCCACTCATCCAACTCCAAGCCTTCTTTCTCTCTCTCTTTAGAAAACAGGAAAATTAAAAACAACAACAACAACAACAGCAAAAAACTCACCAGATCTTTTTTTTTTTTTTAATTGTGCTTCATGTTAATAAGAGTGGCAGTGGCTTTTCTTCGTGGGGCAGTTTAACAGCGAAGGAGCTAACCGGTATGAAGGAACTTAATCTAAGTGCGGCCTATCCTAACGGCTAGAGAAATAGTGCTATTTTGGTGTACACCTTTATATTTGTTCTACTTAAAAAACAACTATGAATTCTCTTTCTTCCTTTACTAGACCAAGCCGACAAGATTTTCCTGAGAGAGACCAGGGAGCACCTGTTTCAGGCATTGTGAGCCACAGTCTCTGTCACGATTACCTGACTGCCACTCACAGAGACATCAGCTAGTGATAATGTGCAAATAAAAGCATATGTCTTATATCATGAGACCTTGCTGCTGAATTCTAGCTTCTCTGTTGGGTACCACAAACAAAACAGTCCCTCCATTTAGCTCAGTCCTGGGGCTATTTTCTCCAAGTACCACTGTCTTATCCCACTAAAACTACTTACAAAAACAAGCAACAAATTGGATTTGGCCTGGGGGTTACATGAGAAAACAACAACAACAACAACACAAGTTATGGTAGAAGTCCTGCACTATTTCCTGTCGGTAAGTCAGCAAAGCACAGGAGAATTAACATCAGCTTCCTTTCCTGTCCTTCCCCATGCTGCTGGGCAGTGAGATGGTCTGGGGAAGCCGGAAGGACAGTGAAGGCAGGAGTAAACCAATGGCCAACCTGTAGGCTGTGGGGCTCAGATGCACTTTGTTGGGAAGCCCGTGACTTTCCATCCTCGAGGCTGTATTTACAGTATCACCGAACAAGCAGTACCGGGGCATCTTGTCTCCCACGACACCTGCCAAGACTGGTCCAGTATGGATTCCCACTCTGATCTGTACAGAGAGAACTTCACTGAAAAGAGAACACTGAATCTTTTTGCCTTTACTTTGAAAGCATGGTTTAGCTAAAAATGAAAAAACACCTATTAAAGTGGTTAGCTCCATGAGGTTTGAGAAGTGCACATGTCTCTGAGACCACCATCAAAAATGATTACTCTGCAAAGTTATCTCGTGCCTTTTTCTTGTTAGCATCCCCCAGTCTGCTGCATAGAGAATTAGAGCATTCCTTTCTGGGGGAGAAGGGAAGACCATAAGTCTTAGAACACTAATACAGCATATAAGGATGGCAAACCTCAGGAAGTTCCCAAAGTTTGTAAAAGCCCAAGGGGAGGGAAACCGCCTTTGCTGGAGCTGCCTGAAAAACTGTGTGTTGGGGTCAGGGGTCCAAGGAGGCAGCCTCCATGAGATGTCGCTAATACTAGGGTGGGCTTCTTAGTGTCACAGCTACATTCGAGGCTCCTGTAAGTATCCCTAATAATCTCACAGGTTCACTAAGCTAGTCTTAGGTTCAGTTGTTCATTTGGCCTGTTGCTGGTGCCCTACGTGAGATGAATATTTGTTCATGTCTCCCAGGAAAAGTCCCACAACCTCACCCTCCCTCCAGAAGAGATTATTGATTTCTTACTTATATCAAAGATTTATTTACCCTTCTAGGACATCACATAGTCATAATTTTTATTGCCCAGGAAGAAGAATGTACCACAATTCATCCATCCATTCTCCTCTTTGTGGATATTTAGGTTATTTCCAGTTTGGAGCTATGATAAGTATGGCAGCTATAAACAGTCTGTAGTAGAGATATGTTTGTGAACACATTTTCATTCCTTTCAGGTAAAATACCTAAAAATGTAGGTACCACCTTGTGTCATAAAATAAATACACATCTAATTTTTACCAAACCAAAACCACCCCAAATTGTCCAAGGTTGATTGTCCAGTTCCCCATTCATATCAGTAATGGTAAACACCTCAGCTGAGCTCTGAGCTATCAGGGGCATGTTTTTCCCCAAGCAGGAATCTTGGTGACTTAGGAAAGCCAAGCCACCTGCGGGTATGCTTGAACAGAAAAGCAGGAATCACAATTGAGGTGTGCTCAGCACCGGCCTATCACAAAGAAGAGTATCCATGAGTCACAGGAAAATCTCAAGAGCGAACAGCCTGCTCTGGAGCCTGGGAAAGCTGAACCTTCTTCACAGCTTTCCTGCTCAGGAGCATGAGCAAGGGAAGAAAAGACTTTTGATAGACGATGCAATGTATATGCTATTAGCATACGCCAAACCTACCCTGGGCAGACGAGAGCTTTACTTTCGTGTGTTACATTTTGTCTCGAGTGAAATACTCTTTTGCTCCCTACCTGGATGGGTTCTCCAGTGACAGGATTCATCACTTCCTCTGCAGAAATTCGCATGCCCAAAGCAAAATTAGCAACTTTCTGAGCATGGCTCTCAACAGGTACTGGTACGCCACCCACCACCATGTAGGCATCACCTATTGTTTCCACCTGCCAGGGCAAAGAAACAAACAAACAAACAAACAAACAAAAAAGTGTTCAATGAGTTTCCTTCATGTCCCAACCAAACACCCACATGTGCCTGCCATTTTCCAGACATTGACAAGAACTTTTTAGCTACTGATTTTCCCCCCTGGGGAAATGAGGAGCAGGAAAGAACACAGGAGAAGGAACACAAGATGGCCAAGAGATATTTCTGACTTTGTTTTTTGTTTTGTTTTGTTTTTGTTTTTGTTTTTGTTTTTGTTTTGTTTTTTTTTTTTTTTGGTGTCAGGGATGGAACCCAGGGTCTCACATAGCTAGGCAAACACCTTATCTCTGAGCCATACCCCCAACCTCTTTCTGCTTTTAGTGAAAATGAGTCCCAGAGAAGATGAAGTTCCTGGGTAGTCATATGATGTTTTATATTAGTTAATGAAATATGTGGGTGAAACTCTGCTGAACAGGAGGCTGGTGCCTGGGAAAGTGGTGATTGCTGCTCCTGGATACCCAAGCACCATCTGAGAATGGGTATTCTAAAAGGATTCCTAAAGCACTTCTTCTTCCTTGCATGCCTCTCCTTTTCAGGCTGGTGCAGACGCAGTAAAGGAAGACAGGCTCAAGTGTTTCCTTCCTGGCCTGCCTCCAGAAGCAGGCTGCACCACACACACACACTTACTTTGTAGACCTCGTGAACACTGGTTAGCCTGTCAAACTTGGAGTACATTGAGTTCAGCATATTCACTATTTGGATAGGTTCACAGACTGCACAGATGTTGGTAAATGTCACCACATCACTGAAAAGGATTGTACACGTTTCAAATTCTCCTGCAACAGAAACGATGTCAGTGGTAGCCAAGGATACAGAATAATAACTCTATGAATGTTTAATTCAGTGTCTTTTGAAGACCAAGCCTGCCTGCGCCCTGGGGGAAAGGAGCTGATGTTATTCATGGCTCCCCATCTAGTCAACAGATAGGAGCCCATACATTGAGTCCCTGTTGTGAGATAGTCATTGTTCCACAAGAGTCATATTGCATGCAATAGACAGAAGGAGCTCCGGGCCTTAAGGAGTGCTCCAGCTAGTGATGGAGGCAGGGATATGAGCAAGCAAATGCTCCTCCCACTGAGAAGTGAGAGTGGTGTGGGTTGAGAGAAACAGCCCCTTTGATCAAGCAGAACCTGAACTACAGAAATGCCAAGCATCGGGTCCCGAGGAGTCCGTCTTGGTACAGTGCCATAACTGCTGCTTTCTCCTCTTTATTTTCCTCTTCTACCCTGGTCCCCAGTTATACTAATTTCCACATGGCAAACGACGATCTTGTTAAGTTAGTGCTCACTTTTTTATCCTTAGCATACACTACAAATGGAACCCTGCTCTGTCCACGCCACCTCTGACCTTACCTCTCCACGACTCCTTCTGGCTTACTCTGATCCAGCCATGCTGTCTTTCTTGGAGTTACCTCATCACGAGGAGCAGCCCCTGCCTTGGGGCCTGCACAATGGCTGTCTCGATGCCTGACGCACACCACTCATCTCAGGGAGAAACTATTTCGGGAGACTATTTGTACTGACAAATGCTGCATGCTCGCATGTAGAGCAGGCTTGTCATGGGCAGATTCTCAGTAACTATGGACTGACTAAGTGGATTGCTGAGACCTGGAACATAGTAGATGCCTTCTGCATTGTCTGTCTGTCTGTCTGTCTGTCTGGCACTAATCTGTCTTCACATGACTCTATCACTCCTACTTTGCCCTTCTCAGCCTTCTCACCTTGTTTTATTTTTTATATTTTTTTCTTGTTCATTATGGTCATTTTTTAAATGGAAAATATTTTTTTTTTAAATAAAACACATTCTGACCGTGGTTTCCCATCCCTCATTTCCTCCCAGGTCCTTCCCACCTCCCTACCCATCCAACTCCACACCTTCTTTCTCTCTCTTTAGAACACAAACAGACAAATAAAAAGCAAATGAACCAGAATAAAACAAAACAAAATGAACAGATAAAAAAAAACACAAAGAAAAAGCACAAGGAACCTATACACACACAGACACATTCACACATCCATAAAGACACAAAACTGGAAACCATATTATATAAGTAAAAGACCAGTAGGGTTAAAAACAAAAAGACTGAACAAAGCAACATGGGACAGAATATCTAAAAACAGCACTTAGCTCATTTTGCTCTATGTCTTTGTCTGGTCTCCTCATTTTTAAATGTTGCCTGTTCCCCACCGTCTTCTCCTCTCACCTCATCTGCTGCCCTGGCTGCTTCTCTGCTGCTGTCATGAAACACTGACTAAAGCCAGGCTGGGATGAAAGGGGTTGTCTCCCCTTACAATTCCCAGGTAACAATCAATCACCAAGGAAAGTCGGGGCAGGAACTGAAGCAGGACCGTGGAGGAACACTGCTTACCTGCTCGCTTCCGGGCTCACTTAGAGCTACCGTTCAGATACAACCTAGGATCACATGTTCAGAGGTGGTACCACCCACAGTGAGCTAGGTCACCCTCCATCAATCAAGAAAACCCCACAGACATGCCACAGGCCAACCTGATGCAGGCAACTCACCCTCCATCAATCATCAAGAAAACACCCCACAGACATGCCACAGGCCGACCTGATGGAGACAATTCCTCAGCTGAAGTTTCCTCATCTCAGGTGACTTTAGCTTGTGTCGCCTTGACAAAAGCTATCCAGATGATCTTACATCACTCACAGAGCCTATGATTAGTTATCACCCACAGTTCAATAGATTCTAGACCTATATAGTTCTATGCCAGAACTTTCCCTTCATTTCTGCCTACAATTCCTGTTGTTGCTGTTTTTTGGCTCTTTTGTGGGGCCCACCACCCAGCTCCCAAATCACTCACAGAGGCATATTCTTGGTTATGATTGACCGGTCTTAGTTTGGCTCAGTTTCTAGCCAGCTTTTTTTTTTTTAACTTAAATTATCCCATCTACCTTTTGCCCCTGGGCTTTTCCCACTCTCTTTTTCTGTAAATCTTACTCTTACTCCATGGCTTGCTGTGTAGCTGTGTAGGCCCCTGGAGTCCTCCTCTTTCTCTGGCTACATCTTTTCTTTTTCTTCACCTCCCAGATTTCTCCTTCTACATATTCTCTCTGCCTGCCAGCCCCACCTATCCTTTCTCCTGCCTTGCTAATGGCCATTCAGCTCTTTATTAGACCATCAGGTGTTTTAGACAGGCACAGTAACACAGCTTCACAGAGTTAAACAAATGCAACATAAGCAAAAGTAGTACACTTCAAAATAATATTTTGCAATAAATTCCTAACTACTTGCTGCTCTTATTATGGGAGGTCCTGTAGATATCTCACACTCAACCTTTCTAACCTGACCTGACTGCCATTGCCTCAGGCTTGATCTTCTTTCTGGTGTGTGTGTGTGTGTGTGTGTGTGTGTGTGTGTGTGTGTGTGTGTGTTTCTGTTTGTTTTCTACTGAAAACGCTTGGGGTTTAGAAGAAGGCTCCGTGGGGGAAAGTTGCTTAAGTGTAAGGATTAGAATTCAAATCCCCAGAAGCCACACAGAAGCCACAATGGTTGGTGTGCTTGGCCGCTTACCTGTAATCCCAGCACAAAGGTGGAGACAGAGAATCTCTCAGCAAGATGACTATCTAGACTCTGAAACACCTAGCTTCACATTTAGTGAGAGAGCCTGCCCCAATATGTAAAGGTAAAGACATCTGATGCCAGTTTCAGGCCTCTGCGCGCGCGCGCGCGTGTGCGCGCGCGCACACACACACACACACAAACATGTGAACACACATACACTGGCAAGCATACCACACACATACATTTAAAACAAAAAACTACCCAGCCATCCATCTCCAG